TCTTAGTCATCTAGGGCTACTATAACAAAATACTGTAGACTGAGAGTGGTTTAAACAACAGACATTTATTTCAGTTTTGGAGGCTGGAAGTCCAAGATCAAGGTGTTGGCAAATTCATTTCCTGGTGAAGACCCTCTTCTTGGCTTTCAGACAGCCACCTTCTTACTATATACTCACATGGTGCGGGGAGAGAAAGTGTGTGCTCTGGTTTCTTTCTCTTCTCTTCTAATCCCATCATGGGGTTCCCACCATCATGACCCTGTCTAAAACTAATTACCTCCTGAAGACCCTACCTCCACATACACTCATATTGTGGGTTAGGGCTTCAGTATAAGAACTTTGGGAAAATACAGATACTCGGTCCATAACAATTATTAACGAACTACTTGCAATTATTTGCATTGAGCAGGTCAGCAAACTGTGTCATATAAGCCACATCTGGCCAACCACCTTGTTTTTTACAGCTTGGGGAAAATGTTTTTTATATTTTAGGTGGTTATATTTTAAATGGTTATATAAGTACCTATATAATATACTGAGTTTGTCTGTGGGCCTGTAAAATCTAAGTATTTACTTTTGTCTTTTAAAAACAAATTTGCTAACACTTAGAATAGGTTATGCTTTTTGATTCCTTGCCTTTAGCATACTGTTTATGCATAAGGTATTCTCCTCTTTCATGTTCTAGAGGCCATATTTGCTTGTTCTTTAGATTTTCTCTGATTTGACTTTGTTTTAGGCTTTTTCTGACAAGCTAAGACTTAGATATCCATCCATTGGGCTTTCATGGTAGTTGAGCCACTATCATACTGTAAAGGAACTGTTTGAGGGAAGACAAGTAGCCTTGGAGGGTTGTTCAAATTTGTTAAATTAACATTTGTGAAGTAGAGCCCTGGAGTGTTGGATGGTGAACCCCAGTTCAATAAAAGACCACAAAGGAAATTGAAATAGAGAAGTGTTTATTACTAACAGATTCTGAAGGAAGTGTTTGGCATGCCTGAAGGGGCCATAAAAGTGCAGATAGGGAGTCACAGGATCTGGGATATGTGACTTTATTAGGGTTGATGACTAGAGTGCTTTGGGATTCCTGAACTAAGTCTGAATTGGTCAAGTCAAACCAAAAAGAGCAGGGTTTTTATAAGTCCCATGGGGGCTTATTTAAGGGGTACACAAGGGGAAGGCCCTGGGAAGCAGGGTGATTATTGCTCACAAGGGCTGTTGGAGAAGTCATATCAGGAATTTACATTTGCTTTTGATGCTGAGGCTGTTACGTAGGGCATGAACTCATGGGAGGGGCTAGTTTCAGTTCAAGACCCCTGTAGGTCCTTTGACCACACTAAATGGATGCCAAGGCAGCAATATCATAGAGTAGTTTAGCTAAACTCTTGACAAAGACGTGCCTTCCATATATTGGTTTTTTTAATGTGTTGAGTTATTGAGAGTGTGTCTTTCAGTTACCACATGGAGGGACAGGGTCTACTTCCCTCCCCCCAAATTTGTTTAGATGTCAAGACTGTATACTGAGAAGGTATGAAACAATTTATTACTCACATAATGATGCTTTATGGGGAGAGCAGTGCAGGTACCCAACGTGGTCCAGAATAGTTTGAGTGAAGTTAGGAGGGGCAGATATCTCTGGTTTTTATTGTTGTTAAGGGATGTGCCAGGTTGATGGGTTCCCACACTCAGGCTAGATTTGTGTGGTTTGAACTTCTCTGCTGATCCCAAGAAAGGTACGCTTTTTCCAACATGAAGTTTTGCATATTATAAAAGCTTACTACAGAAAAAAAAGAATATAAAGAACATAAGTACATATTATCTCACATAATGGAAAATTATAATAATCCTTTGGCTTTTTCAGTATTAAAGATGAAGTTATATTGTACATATGCAATCTTCTTTCCCCTATCCCCATGTGACAGACCATCTTCCCACGTGACTAAATTTATGAAACATCATATGCAGTGATTTATTGTGAGTGTTAAGTTGAGGCATAAATGTGGATGGTTTTCCCTCTCTTCTTTTCTCCCTGTAACTACAGATAACTGTGTTCCCCTTCCTTTTCCACTGGGTTTTCTTAGTACTTTCTCAGTGTGATATCAAAATTATTCTATTACTTTTACGTTCATTGAAACAGGCTCATTCTCATTCTTTAAGATTAATTTTTAAACCTTTCATTATAAAATAAAACCTACAGAAAACAACACAAAACAAATGTAGGATTTAGTTAGTTATTAAAAGTTGAACATCTTTTTGGCAGTGGTGACAGGGCTGCTTTTGCTGATTGGTGTGTCTCAGCAAGGCAAGTAAGTCCTGCTCTGGACTTAGAAAATGAGGTTCTCTATTGCCTTTGATTCTTTGCTGCATCCTTATTTATCAGAGATGGCTTGGGGCACCCACCATTATTTTGTTTCACACATACTTATATATACACAGACAACCAAATGTTTTTATAGGAGATAGGATTTTTTTAGTAAAACTACATGTCAGTGCTTAATGCAGAAAATGAGAAAATGCAAGTACTCTAACAAAAACAAAAGAAAACAAAGAAAAAGAAAAACTCCATAACCCATGTTTTGGCTTCCTTTCAACTTTTTTCTTTGAATTTATATAGTGTGGTTTTTTTTCCCATAAAATGTATAATTCTGTACATACTGTTTTACAGACCTAGTTTTTTAAGTTAATATCTAGGCCTTTTCAGTGGAAAAAATGTATTTTCTCATTTAAGATTAAAAACATTTTGTGTTCATACCAATACTTTGCACTTATATTCAGGAACATAGGGTTTTAATTTAATTTCATTCTTTTTTTGCATCCTTTTTTCTTTTTCCTAATATGAGAATCCACTTTTCAACAAACACCAATATAACCGTTTTCATTTATACCCATATATACACAACTAGAATAATGACACCATACTACCATCCATAATATAATTACTGAAAATAGTTTGGAAATTTTTCCTCACTTGAAACAGTTTGAGTATAATGCCATAAACTTAATATACAGTTAGACTTATGTATTTTAATTTACTTTTGACTTATAGGGGTTCATCAAAACATCTATAAGAGCAAAAGATTAGAAACAACCTAGTCTGTTTTCTCCCCAGTTGATATTTTTCCGTGTCTATAAATATATTTTCATTATTATTTTTTAATAAAACATAATATTCTGTTGTATGACTGTGTCATACTTTGTGTTTAGTCATTTTTCTGTTCTTGGGCATTTCTACTTTTTTGCCATTCTAAATAATGCTGCAATAACCATATTTACACATACATTTTTGTTTATTTCTGAGGGCTAAAAAGACAAAGGAAGAACTTGTCTTTTTAAAAAGGTTTTAGTTAGGGGCGCCTGGGTGGCTCAGTCAGTTAAGCTTCTGCCTTCAGCTCAGGTCCTGGGATCGAGTCCTGCTTCGGGCTCCCTGCTTCTCCCTCTCATTCTGCCCCTCCACCCAACTCATGCTCTCTGTCACTCACTCTCTCTCAAATAAATAAATAAAATCTTTAAAAAGAATAATTAAAAAAAAATAAAAAGGTTTTAGTTAAATTTTGACCAATTGTCTTCCAGGAAGTTTATGAATCTAATCCTATCTGCAATATTAATGAGTACTAGATTCTTTTCAATTGTGTTGTCACCATGGGTGTTAGCATTTTTTCCTACATCATATTTATTGGCTGTTTATTTTATATTTTGTGAATTGTCTATTATGGCCTTGCCAGTTTTTTTCCATGTCCATCTTTTTTTTTTTTTCTTGGCTTTTAGGAAGACATATATTAGGGACAGCAGGTATTTCATGATGGAAAGAGGTTCTGTGAAATAATCCCTTTTTGTGTCAAGATTAAATAATTATCCAGAGGTGTTTTTTGTTTCTGCTTTTTCAGAAACAATTATTCCATTTGCTTTAGTCATTAGTGCATCCTGGAAGGAAGGCCAACAACACAAAACTGGAAAGTTTTGGATGGAATACCCAACATAGGAAACAAATTCTAATTTTATTCATATCATCTGTAATAAAGTAGATATCCCCCTTCTATAATGGTTTTTCAAGCCCATAATCTCTAAATTGTTTAAAAATTTGTGGATTTTTTTTATCTTTTTTTTTTTATATATACTAATGAAAGGTCTTGCAGTATTGAATCAGTTCTTGGATTGGAAGGATCTGCTGGTGGGCTACAGGTCGAACTAAGTCCTGACTTTAAACTTAGTTTTTATTTTGCTAATTTGACTTCAGAATAAGAGTCTTTGAAAGCAAAACATTACTTTTCTCAGGATAGGTGAGAGCTGGCGAGGTTGCAAATAGAGCCCAGGAGTGGCTGCTTATACCAGTTTGACTAGTCCAGTACTATTTGTCTTTTATAGAAAAACAAATTAAGGCAAACCAAGCCAAGGTAATAGTGGTGCTGAAGTTAAGAGTAGGTGGGTTTGGCATAAGAAAGGAAATGGAATAATCATGTAGTTAAATGCTTTTGTTATTTACATGAGTGGTCCAATCTCTATATATAATCAAACACAACCTCACACCAAATATGAGTAAATTTTGGGAGATTCTTTACCATCTTTGATTATTCAAGGAGATTGGTAAAAGCACGGACTCAGGAGGTAGACTTTTTGTGTTTGCATCCTATTTTGGCTCTCTGTACATTAATTTCTAGTAATCTTACTAGTCATTAAATCATAGAGTTATTTTGAAGATTAAATAAATGAGTTAATATTTGTAAAGTACTAAGAACAATATCTTGTGGACAGTGAGCATTGTGTAAGTTTTTAAAAATGAATTAAAAATTTCTTGGTGGGAGGAAGAGTAGGAGAAGAATGTTACAAATAGTTTAATAAGTAAACCAATTGAATCTTTTTTATTAAAAAATTTTTATCTTAAAAATTTATTTTTACAACACAAACATTGAGTAAATTCGGACTATCATGAGTGATGTTTTCAAAAGTAACGATTACATACGTTTCTTGAGGGAGGTTATAGCATTTTTTACTGCTTTTGTTCACAGGATATTCTGAATAATCTTGAATCATGTGACCTTGAGGATGATGACCTTATGCTTGATGTGGATCTGCCTGAGGATGCACCTCTTGAAAATGGTAAGTGAGGACAATATTGAAATTCCAGAGGCGTATATAGTTGAGCTGCTTGTCTAGGGCCAATTTACTATTATTTACAAACTTCTTAATCTCAGTGAAGGAAGTCTTTCAGACTGAGAATCAGTCTTAAGTGATATTAAATAAATTCATTTGCAAACTTATTTAAATGTTTAAAACCTCGATTTCGTAGGTCTTAGATATAATTCTGTATGATCCAATAAAATTGTATATCTGTATTATAAAGTAAGTAGTAGATAGGATGTGTCCTTTTTGCCCCGTGTACATATCCAGCTTTTCTTCCCTTTCATTTTGATTCTAAGAAATACATTTAGAGAAACAGATTTCATTTGACTTGTGATACAGCAGTAAAACTCATTAAGTTTTACTTATGATAAATAAGTTTTACCAAGAATAAATATTTTTAAAAGATCAATTCTGAGAAAATTTTAAAAAGATTAATTCTGGGAAAATGGTGACCTTCTGAATGAATCATTCCACTTTTTTTTTTACTCCCAAATCCAATCTCTCATCCTCTCTGGATCCCAGTAATGCTGGAGTAGGGATTTAGACAATCCATATGCAAGAGAGGCCTAGGTACTCTTGCCCCCACTGACTTAATATTTGTAGGATTTCCTATCTTAAGGACTGATCTAGAATCAGATAGCAGCCTAAAAAAGCCCCTGGGGCAAGGGTTGAAATGGGAATTCTCTGGAAAGAGGAATGGCTCCAGAAGATCTGTGGATTCCCTGTCAGTCAACATTTGCCTGGTCTCTCAGGCCTCCCAGGGGCAAGAGATGAACCACAGAAGGTGGTGAAGTCCTTTTTATACATAATGCTAGAAAAATGCAGGGATATTTTGAAGAGGGCAGGTGTTTGTTCTGGTGCTATTGAAGGTACTAGGAGCTCATGTTTGTCACTCCTCCCTCCCCCGCCCCATGCTGCCAGGATGCTCTGTTAACAATCTCAAAATCTCAGTGGCTTTCAAAATAAACATTTATTTTCCGTATTCATGAATCTATAGATTAGCTGGGACAGCTCAGGCTGTAGGATTGAGTTCAGGTCTACTCCTTGTTTCTTCATTTTGAGACCAAGATTACCTGGAGCAGGTTGCTCTCATGGCAGATGGCAAAAGGACAACAGGTTGAACAGAAACGAAAATATATTATCTCTTAGGGTCTTGACTTAGAACCAACACACTGTTACTTCTGCCCACATCTGTTGGCCAAAGCAAGTTATTTACCAGTGGGACTGGGAAGTGGATTCTGTTTGCAGTTAGAAACTCTGTGGCGGAGGACACTGAATATATAATTCTACTAAAGGAGAGAGTGAAGAGCTGAGAACAATATCTACTCTACCACAGGGGTAGAGACTCTAGCACCTTCTCATGGTTCTGCTGTCACCTGGGATACTCTGGCAACCAGAGTTGAGTTCCAGTCAACTGAGAAAGAAAAGTCGCAGCCAACATCCAGGAAGAAGAATAGGGAAAACAACAGAACTCCCAGGATTAGAGTGGCCCAAGGAAATAATAATGAAAGCACTTAAGGAAATAACAATTGCAGTACAGTGCTTTCTGGAGCTATAAAAGATTTCCTAATAGAACAGTTCAGTAGATGACAGAAAGCATAGCTGCTGTTGAAATCCAAATTAGTGTCCTGGGAGATCAAGTGGAAAAATACTGGAGAACAGGGGGAAAACATAAACCATTGACAATTATGGGGGGAAAATGAGATGATGATCTAGGAGAATTCATGTGAAGTTTTAAGGGCTGACAGTGAGGAGTGAGGGATATACTTCCTTGGAATAAATCACATCCTAGATAATGCATTTTACTTTGACAGATTTTAACTTCTCTTTGGAAACTTTATACCCTTTCTGAGCTATAGGAATTGGTATTAGAACCTGCCTCATCTTTAGAGGACAACATAAAGTTATCCTCATGATAGATAAAATTGGAATCATAGGGAAATTTAAAATCTTCGAGGTCTTGGTTGGGGACTTATGAAAAGTAGTAGGGAACCCCTGAGGTATAACATCTCACATATATTGTAGATTTTCCTCAGAGAAGGCAAACAGATTTTGACTGTTTTGAGCTAACTGAACACTGAAGAAAGCAGAACATAAGTCTAAAATATGTAGCCTTCTGAGGCACCAAACATAAAATAGTATTCAGGTTTGGTACTACTGGGGAGTAAGGAGTGACTGTTCTCTTTATAGCTCTGAGGTCCTGGATGACTATACCCCCCCCTGAGTTTTTTGATTGGGAGGATAGGAATGTTACAAGGACTGGTACTAGGTTTAAAGGAGTTTTCTAATATACTTTTGACTATTGATTTTCATTCCCTTTAGCTTCTGGTTTTGGTGGCTATTATTCAAATTTGGGTAGAGTTTTGAATGGGTCACTCTGAAGCTTGGTGTGTTCAGCATCACTAATTCTGCCAATATCAGTGAAATTTTTACCAACAAGAAGTCTGAGACTTTGTTGAGATCTTTAGTTTGGGTTTGACTTTGGACACAAGCTTGTTATGACTTCATTGTGAATAAGGGATCTTCTGGGATTTCAAGGAAGAGGCCATGAGAATATTCATCTGGCAATTATATTTGTGTAGTAAGTCATGACCTATTAGGTAGCATATGTGATAATACAGAGGAGGAAAGAATGTTTGTTGGTCAGGTGTTTCTTGGATTGTTATGGGCTAGGATTTGGGAAGTGAGAGTTTTCAGAAATATCCATAACTGAGTTGTTTGGTGACACTGAGGGGGGCGATTTTACAACTATAGTAGGATTTAAGGTTGATATCCTAGTGCCTGTAGCAATAAAACATTTGCAAGATTTTCTTTTAATATTTAGAGAAAATTTGGGGCACCTGGGTGGCTCAGTTGTTAAGTGTCTGCCTTCGGCTCAGGTCATGATCCCAGGGTCCTGGGATCGAACCCCGCATTGGGCTTCCTTCTCAGCGGAAAGCCTGTTTCTCCCTCTCTCAATCCCCCTTGCTTTGTATTCCCTCTCTCACCGTGTCTCTCTCTGTCAAATAAATAAATAAAATCTTTAAAAAAATATTTAGAGAAAATTATCTTTTGAGTGCAAGGATAAAATTGGAAATTGAGTACTTGATCTCCCCTTCAGAACACTTTGATTAATCACCTACTTTATTTTTTTCTTTTATTTCATAGGTGATGCAGGACACTTGTTTTTCCAGTGCCCTGCTGTTGTAAGTGTACTAAGAGACTTCTTCCTCTAGTGTTTAATTGGCTGTGGTGGAAGCATCTAGTTGTGATATATGAAGGATATCATTTTATTCTGAGTTGTATTCTACTTTTTTCTAAGGCTCTTTCCAAATATTAGAAGTCTGGCAATGAGGCTATATTTATCCTATTTCTGCCTTAAAATCCTTTACAGAATGTGAGAAGAGAGACTGGTCACATCTCTTTCAGAATCTACCCCTGAATGCTATCTAAAGGTGTTAGTCTACTCTTGAAGTCTGCAGTGGATTTATCCTTTCTTTCCTTACAGAACTGAATCAGAGCCCAATCTACATTTATAGAGAAGACTTTGTTGACAGCCTCTGAAAGTCCTTTTCTAACCTCTTCTAGTTTCTTATAAAATTGATGGAGTTCAGTATGGTACTACCCCAAAATATGGCACCTGGCATATTGAATAGTTTAAGCTCAAGGAGTTTGAGAAAATGGCAGAAGCAAGAAAGTCACTTTGACCTCCTCCCCACCTCACCGTCCTTCCCTGAAACAGATCATAAAACCCTCATGTGAGAGGTACCCTCCCTATACCCAGAGGAAAGGCGCATTCTTTTTTTTTTAAATTTTTTATTGTTATGTTAATCACCATACATTACATCATTAGTTCTTGATGTAGTGTTCCATGATTCATTGTTTGTGCATAACACCCAGTGCTCCACGCAGAATGTGCCCTCTTTAATACCCATCACCAGACTAACCCATCCCTCCACCCTTCTCCCCTCTAGAACCCTCAGTTTGTTTTTCAGAGTCCATCGTCTCTCATGGTTCATCTCCCCCTCTGACTTACTCCCCTTCATTCTTCCCCTCCTGCTATCTTCTTCTTTTTCTTTTTTCTTAACATATGTTGCATTATTTGTTTCAGAAGTACAGATCTGTGATTCAACAGTCTTGCACAGTTCACAGCGCTCACCATAGCACATACCCTCCCCACTATCACCCAGCCACCCCATCCCTCCCACCCCCCCACCACTCCAGCAACACTCAGTTTGTTTCCTGAGATTAAGAATTCCTCATATCAGTGAGGTCATATGATACATGTCTTTCTCTGATTGACTTATTTCACTCAGCATAACACCCTCCAGTTCCATCCACGTCGTTGCAAATGGCAAGATCTCATTCCTTTTGATGGCTGCATAATATTCCATTGTGTATATATACCACATCTTCTTTATCCATTCATCTGTTGATGGACATCTTGGCTCTTTCCACAGTTTGGCTATTGTGGACATTGCTGCTATAAACATTGGGGTGCACGTACCCCTTCGGATCCCTACATTTGTATCTTTGTGGTAAATACCCAGTATTTGCAATTGCTGGATCGTATGGTAGCTCTATTTTCAACTGTTTGAGGAACCTCTATACTGTTTTCCAGAGTGGCTGCACCAGCTTGCATTCCCACCAACAGTGTAGGAGGGTTCCCCTTTCTCCGCATCCCCGCCAACATCTGTCGGGAAAGGCGCATTCTTAATTCCAAGACAAAGAGACTCCCAAGAAGAATCCTAAAAAATAGGGCTTGCTAAGTTTCCCTCAGTTTACTACAGTTACCTCGTACTCCTTAACCTGTCATATTCCTCCATGACTGACCACTTTTTATCAAACCTAGCATAAAAATACACAGGTCTGGGGTGCCTGGATCGCTGAGTCGTTAAGCGTCTGCCTTCGGCTCAGGTTATGATCCCAGGGTCCTGGGATTGAGCCCTGAATCAGGCTCCCTGCTCAGCAGGAAGCCTGCTTCTCCCTCTCCCACTCCCCCTGCTTGTGTTCCTGCTCTCGCTATCTCTCTCTTTCAAATAAATAAAATCTTTAAAAAAAAAGTACACAGTTCTAACTCTTTCTTTGGGTCTTTATTTCCTTGTGAAGGCTCCCCTGTTACATATAATAAATAAGTTTGTATGCTTTCCTTCAGTTTAATTTTCTGACCCTACAAGATCAAGAAAAACTCTTTCCTCTTCTACACAATCAATCATGGTTCTTAAGTTACATGACCTTCAGATTCTTCACACTGTGCCTTTTCCATTTTATTTTTTGCACCTGGGTTTCCCTCAGTATATGAACTAATAATGTGTAATAGGGATCCTGGATTATCAATTCCTGAAACTATTCTAAATTCCTCTGCAAATTTCTCCCAATCTTATTTAGATCTTAGAAAACATGCAGCCATGACTCTCAGCTTAGAATGAGTCCAGGTCTTAAAAATCAATCTTATGGGGTTTTCCCTCTTCTGAAAGAGGTTTAACTTTAAGAGATAATGAGACTTTGAGGTTTCTGGCCAGCTTCAGGGTAGGGAAACAGGTCAAGGGAGAGATGGGGCAGAACAAAATTGAGGAGCGTAGAATGAGGGAAAAAGAATAAAACGAGAAAGGACTTTAGGTTTCAGTTGTGATTAGGAAGGATCTGAAAGACAAAATTGTTTTAATTCTTTTAAATTTTTTCTTTTACCTTTGTCAAGGAATCTCTTAAGGAAACAGTTTTGGTTCTGAATTTCTTTTGGCAGACTGTTAAGTATTTGATATTTTCACCTTTTTTGTTCTACAGTGTCTCACAAATGAACTGTTCAGGTTGTATCAAAAACACAATTGTATGGCTTTATTCTCTTGCTGTGGAACATCTAATAGTCACTCATTGCCGACAGATTAAAGCCTAGCATTTGGCATATTTATAGTTTAATCTTCAGGTTTATGATGTTTCCATAGTATATACCTTGTTACATGTGCTATTTCATCTACTCCTTCTGTTTTTAAACTTTTCTCTGGAAAAAGATGTCTTCTGGGGCGCCTGGGTGGCACAGTTGGTTAAGTGTCTACCTTTGGTTCAGGTCATGATCCCCAGGTCCTTGGATCAAGCCCTGCATCAGGCTCCCTGCTCAGCAGGGAGTCTGCTTCTCCCTCTCCCTCTGCCTCTCCCCCCCACCTCGTGCTCAAATAAATAAATAAATAAATAAAATCTTAAAAAAAAGAGAGATATCTTTCTAATTACTTCCTGAATCCCACACCACAGCAAGTTATGGTTCCTATTAAATTGTACTTATTCTGTGTTATATTTCCTAAGGCCACATTTTTGCTTTTATTGAATTATATGAGTTCTATAGTATTATCCTTGATCACTTTCCAGTTACTGTGTTTTCTTCTGGAAATTTCTCTTTCTTTTTCAGTGCTAATTGTGTTTAGTAATAACAAGGCTCGTGATTATTATTATTATTTTTTTTTTAGATGAGCTTTTCTTCTTTTGAACCAAATTTTAGTTCAGAGCTTTTCTGATCAGACTGTAAAACCTCCTGCAAAGCACATTCTTTCTAGGCTTTGTAATGTGTAATTTCTTCCTGCCATCTTCATAGCCAATTGTTATTCACAGGTGGAAATAATACCTATGTCATCCATTACCTTCCTATGACTTTAAATAATCAGAGAAATAATCTAGGTTACTTTTGGTGTTATATTTTTTCCTTTATCAAATCAGAAGAAATGAGTGTGATGAGTGGTAGATCTAGGCATCCCAAGTCCCATACCTTTCAGTTAGCTATCTATATTAGATCCTCTTTCCCTACTCCTACTCACAGTAAAAGAACTAAAATCTGCTGCCTCTTACTTTTGGGCCTGGAAACCTCCTTCACAGGCCCTTTCTTTTCTTTAAAGATTTTATTTATTTATTCATGAGAGACAGAGAGAGAGAGGCAGAGGGAGAAGCAGGCTTCCCGCAGAGCAGGGAGCCCGATGTGGGACCCGATCCCAGGACCTGGGATCATGACCTGAGCCGAAGGCAGATGCCTAACCATCTGAGCCACCCAGGCGCCCCAGGGCCTTTATTTTCTAGTCCTAAATGCATAGTTAGGGCAAAATCTGGTGTGTAGAGAGCTGTGATCAACATACTGGGTTAAAATTTTTCAAACCAGGATATGTTTTGGTTTGCCTCATCATGCCTTATGGTATTTCATGTTCAGAGGGATTTATTTCCTTTCTTAGTCTTCTTTGTCCTGTTCCATCATTGGCTGTGGAAATGGTTTTGATTTATCTCCATCGTGTAATTTTGCTTGCTTTCCATTTTCTTCTCTATGTTATTTCTTTCATTCTGTCAGAGAACCCCCTAATCTTATCTAAGAAACCACCACTAATATTATTTCACATTATCTTCTTAGTAACATTTTAAAGTACATAAATATATGTTTGATGGATGCCTCAGATAGGAATATAGTTAACCCTTGAACAACACAGGTTTGGAATGTGTGGGTTCATTTATATGTGGGTTTTTTCAGTTAATAAAGGACAGTACTGTAAATGTGTTTATTTTCCTTATGATTTTCTTAATAACATTTTCTTTTTTTGATACAGTGCAGTACTGTAAATGTATTTTTTCTTAAGATTTTCTTATTTACATTTTATTTTCTCTAGCTTATTGTAATACAGTATATAGTACATATAATGTACAAAACATGTCTTAAATGACTATGTTATTGGTAAGGTTTCCGGTCAACATAAGCTATTAGTAGTTAAGTTTTGGGGGAGTCAAAAATTATACACGGATTTTTGACTATGCAGGGGGTCCCATACTCTAACACCCACATTGTTCAAAGGTCAACTATATAAGCAGAAACCTTAAAAAGTCTTGGAGCAGTCTTTTATCTGAGAATTTAGGCCTGTCTATCTCAGTGTTTACCAGTAGTCTTTTGTGGTCATGGCAAATGTTTGTTTCCACCGTTTATTTGCCATTGTGTCTGTGGTTCAGTTCTTGTTTCAATAAAGGGGCTTTAATTTGTAGCCTGTGTGTAGTATCAACAACCTCTTTAGCAAAAACAAAAGTGGCACATCAATTTTATGCACTTTAATTTCCCACAGTATTTAACCCCATCTCCTGGCCTATTTGCCTGGTTCATTTGCTTCTTGCTACTCTGTATGCACTGTGTTGATGATATCCTAATTACATATCAGATTTTTATTATGACAGAATTTCTTGTTTGGGGAGTGAGTGGAATTTTACTTGCCTGAATTAAATATGAATTCAGATAAAAGTAGATACAGATTATCTCTAGCTTTATAGAATTGCTTAAACTAAAGTAACATTTTAATGACATGTAGAAATACTTGATGAGCTTAACTGAGTCTTTGAGTGTAATAGAAATGTGAACTAAAATCAGTTTTAAGCCTTTCTGGGATATTTTTAAATTTATTTTTTTTTTCCGATCTCATCTTCTACTCCTTATTTTTTTCATTATAATGGTCACCATGTCTTTATCTAACAGTTAGGTTTTCTATAATGAACTTTAAAAAAAATAGATTGTAATTTATCTCAATAAAATGACAAGAAATTGAAATAATTTCAAATGTAAGGCTTCTTTAGAAAATGTTTTCTTTAAATTTGTTTGAACTATAAAATGTATAGTTTTCCCCCAAAATTGATTTCTTTAATGGTTATAAACAAAATTTCAAAGTGTTTTAAAAAGTTATACGAAATTATTATGCATTTAGAAGAAACTATGTTACAGTGAGTTTAGTGTATATGAGAATTGAACATCTGCACTTTAACTACTTTTTTGGAGTGGGGTAGTTTGTTTTTATCTGGTGTACTGTAATGAAACACTTCCCTATTTCAAATTCAAGTTTTAGGTTAAGTGAAAATAATCACTTAAATAATGAATTTTTTTTAAAATTGGGGATCACATTGATTTCTGTAGCTTCTTTATTCTAAGCATTTCGGATTTGAACTTTCTCATGTAATAATTCTAAGACTAGAGAAACCTTTTCTGTTCCTGGCTGAGTTAGTGTTTAGTTGTATTTTTAGTAACAGTCCTAACTCAGTAGCTATGTAACCACTGAGCGAAGATGGAGTCACAGGGTAAACTGGGCTTGCTTCCCACAGGGAGGGCTGGGAGTTGAGCAGGAAGGAAGGCCTGTTTGTCAGTGCCCTGTATGCAACTATGTCTGAGTAGGCAGCCGGCGACACAATGTCTCCCTTGTACAAAGTAACTCTCTTAGTGAGTGCTCAGATATGTGAGGAAAAAGTGTTTGGGTAAGTGAAGGAGAAGCTTGGGGTGTTTGAAGGAGGTTCTTCTCGTGTTTTTGTGGCATTTGGATTTCAGGGAGTGTACTATTTGTTGCGGCAAAGTACTGGCTTTGTTTTCAGTGACATTTTAGACTTTTTGAACAAGCTCTACAGTAGGCATATTGAAGCTTCTTACTTTCTAAACTGTGAGTTTAATTTAAAAAAAATACGATTTGTTTGTGATGAAAACTTAATCTGTGCTTCTTGAAATCAGTGAAAGCTAATTGTGGCATTTATTTTTGGGAACAAGTTCTCTGCTAGACTTAAAATCTTATACTTTTTCTGATCATTTTCATTCTGAAGTCAGAACCAGCTAGTGATAATGATGAAAACCACTAAAAACTAATTAGTGGTGTTTAAAATGTATACTGTTGATAACAAGGGTAATTTGCTTGTTTTAAAACACTGGGATAGTTGTTACTTAAGTGCCTATGATATGAAAGTTTTATAATTTTCAGTTTGAATACTATAAAGTTCAGTTTTCACCAAAAGAACTGGTTACTTTTCTTCTGGATATTTTGATTTTGTGATTAGCTAATATAAATGGCTGGTGTTTTTAGCATATCATTTTTATATTCTGAGCAGCATTTAATTATCAAGCTATAAGTAGTTAACTTTAAGAGTGTGTGCATGTTTATAGTGTTTTGCTTTTGAATCTGTCTAGTGGAGTGTGACAATATGAACCGCTTTGACCGGTCAGACAGAAATGTTCGGCAGTCTCAGGAAGGATTTTGGAAAAGGCCACCCCAGAGGTGGAGTGGACAGGAGCATTACCACCTCAGCCATCCTGACCACTATCATCACCATGGAAAAAGTGACTTGAGCAGGTGAGTCTAATTTAGATTATATTCCCTATCTTTTGATTAATTTTGAATCCTAATATTCCCCTGCCCCCTCAAAACTATTTTTTAATTTGGTTTTTAGAGGCACCAAAAAATATTTCAAATTATATATGGTACTAATTGGAATAATTTGTCCAATTCTTTCCTTTTGGCCCAAATCTTTTTTCATTAGCTTTATCATAAATAAAAGTATTTTATTTATGTCTGCTATTTGTACTTCATATTTTGGTGTGATTTTCTAGTTCTCCTTTGGGAATGATTATATGTTGAATTTGTTAAAGTTAATTATTTTTAAAATAATATATGAAATTAGTGCCAAGTGATTTGTCTTCTTTTGCTTATATAATAAATTAAAACTTAAAAGTTCCTCAAGTACTGTTAGAAACGAAGATACTGTACAATGCCAGGATTCTTTTCCTTTTTGAAGCATAGCATAGTTTTTAATTTGATAAGATATGTAATATGGCTCTGTAGTCAGTCAAACCTGAGGTCAAACCATGGCCTGACACAGATTAGCTTTGTGAGCTTAAATAATTTATTTAAACCCTCTTTATTTCAGTTTATCATCTGTAAAACATAGTTAATAGTACCTTTCTCTCACTGTTCAAGGATGAGAGACAGAAGTGCTTGAGCAGTATATGGCTTAGAGTAGGTACCCAGTGATGGTAGTTATTATTAATTTTTTTCCTTTTCACTTCCTCATCTCATTTCACTAGGGATTTGAGATCATTTGGGGGCACAGTTACCAAGCAGATAATAAAATTGGATAAAGAATCAATGGAAGGGAAATGTGTGGGCCCATATAGTTCTTGAAGTAAGAAAAAAAAATTGGCTCTAAGAATCCTTGCAGCAAAAACAAAGAACAAACCTCGATGCATTACAAGATTTATTCTATACATAAGAAAGAATGTGTTTCTCCTGAACTGATTTGCTTTCATGAGACAGAAACCTGAAAGAAGTTGCTTTGCATGAGTTCTTAGAGAAGGGGAATACTTTGTGATACAGTGAACAGGTCTCAGCTTCCCAAAGTGGAAATGATAAATTCCTTAAGTCAGTTTTTTACTTATGTTCTCCAGTGCAAGCTACAAAGAACTCCAGACTAGTGAGAAAAGGCAGTTCTGCAATGGGCACAAAATAATGAGGTTTAACTAAGGATCCCTCTGTTGGTATAATTGGATAAAATGATAAAATGTAGAAGATCTAGAATACACGGAGTATATATTTTTCCAGGCATTATTTTGGCTGTTGGTTTTTTATAGCAGCTTTTGATAAGGAATGGACATCAGAGTTGTTGTCAGGCAAGAATATGAAGTAAAGATAGTCATGATTGTAAATAATGAAGATTATGCTTCCCTTATTTTTGATGGTTGGTTTATAAGAAGGTAAATTTGAGGCCAACTTATGAAAATTTAGAAGCCTAACTAAAATATGAATTGCTTATACTTCTGATAATATTTATTCATCCATTTAACAAATATTCATTGAGAACCTATATGTTGAACTCTGTGCTAAATTCTCAAGCTGGGTTGAATTTGGAAATAGTGTGAGAGGTGATAGCTGTGGATTGGTAATGGCTTCTTAGAGCATTGTTCTGAGGATTCTAAAAACAATTATGTAATGCATGAGCTCAGTTGGAGTCATTACAGTTATTGGTTATGTAGAAGATTCATGTTCCTCTTCCATACGAAGTTGAGTAGTAAATATTTCTTGGATGTTGAGTCTGTGGGAGAGGCAGGTATATTACAATATTAGTGCAGTACAATGATGATGGGTGCCTTAATTAAAGTGATTTATATAGGACTCCAGAAGCATGCAGCATCTGTTTTTTGTCTAAGGTAGTGGTGTGTAAAGGAGGTTACTATTGAATGGGTAAGTGTGACTGTAGAGATTGCAGAGGAGTGGTTTCTATAGGAGAAGGATGAGTATTCAGATGGAAAAAAATAGCATGTACAAAACCATATATCAGTACTGTGGCATTTTTAGAGAACTAAGTTCATAGCTGGATTGCTAGGTCATTTGGAGGAGTGAATAGATGTGCTCTCTAACTCTAACAGCAAAACTCTCTATTTTAAGATAACAAGTGACAAATTGCAGCTTAAAATGGGATTATAAATCAGACTGTCCCAAATGGAAGGAGTTACCTGGATGGAGGTAGTAATCTCTGTCCCTGGGAATGATCAAGCTGAGACTGATTAGTCATCTTTCAGAAAAGTTAAAGAACATTTTCCAAAAACCATATTCCTAGATGTTAATAGGTGTAGAAGAGCAATTATCTGATCAAATAAGTACAGGAATAAACAAATTAATATTAAATGAGTTTTTTGTAAAGTGGACTTTGCATTGCCTTTAATATATATAGTACTATGATTTTGCAAAATGTGGTAAAAGATACAATATGTAGCCATTTTGTAAAACATATGACTGCAGATTCCTTTTACACAGTGTATTTTGAGGGACTAGTAATTTGTGGATCACACTGTTGAGTCTCAGGGAGGAGAGAGAAATGCACCATATTCTTGGGGGTTGCTCATTTGACTCAATGCAGAACTTCCCAACAAGTGGGCACACTGGTTTGTCATGAATAGTTATAGGTTAACCGTTTTATTGATCCCTTCAGGCTTTCGGGTGGCCAGCTGGGTGTGGGTTATCTAGATCCCCTAGAACTAGTTATGAAGTTGGGTGGTACAGAGGGAAACCCCATTTAAGACAAGGCTTACTCTCCAGTTTACCTTAAAACTATTCTTTTCTCTCCATGCCTTGATTTTTAAAAGCTTGGATACACTAATCCCAGGGCCTTTTTGACATTACATGTGTAAAAGTATCTCTTCCCATTCTATGACTTCTTGAGTGTAAGTTCCCTTTCCTTTCTGTCCTTTAATTCCCATCATTGTCTTTTTTTTTTTTTTAATTATAGGAATCTGTCTTATCCATAATTTAGGGGACTGGTAGTTCAGTTTCCTTTATATTTTTATCATAATACTATGCTCTCTTTTCATCTGGCCTAAGCTTTCACTCCTCTTTCTCCTGCAACCTCCTTCTTTCCCTATACTTTTCATTATGCTGTATGGAATTCTCTCACATCCTAACAAACTCACATTTTTTACCCCTTTGCCTACATTCTCCTGATTGCAACTGAAATCTCACTCTTTCCTAAATGTACTAGTTCCATAGTAGTATTTTTATATGAAGGATTCTTATTTTCCAATCACTCTAGTACTTTACTGTTTAGAGGTGGGGTCTTTGTCTTCACTCCTTATTTGCTTCTAATCAAAATATTCTTCAGTCTCTTTCCTCGAGACTTAGGGCATTTGGCTGTATCAAATCCTCCTTATTGGTCCCTACCCCTCGCTCACAAAAATCTTGACCCTTGGCTTATTTTCCCTCTTCATTGTAAGCTTTGCTGCAATCCTGAATGCCTCCAGCATTCATGTACATGATTCTTTAACCTCCTGGCTCCTTAGTTTCTTAGAATTCTCTGTATATGAGATCATGTCATCAGAGAATGGAGATAGTTTTACTTTTTTCATTCCCATCTGGGTACTTCTCTTTTTTTACTCCTGCATAATTCCTATGGCTAGAACCTCCAATATAGTGTTGAGCAGGAGTGGTGAGAGCAAACATTTGTGCCTTTCTAATATTACGGGTAAAGCATTCAGTCTTTCACTGTTAAGTATGATGTTAGCACTGCTTTTTCATAGGTAGTCTTTATCAGTTGAGGAAGTTCCCTTCTATTCATATTTTGTTGAGTGTTTTTGTCATGAAAGACAGTTGGAGTTTGTCAGATGATATTTCTGTGACTATTGAGATAATCATTTTTTGGTGTTCATTCTCTTAATGTGGTATATGACATTGACTGATTTACAGATGTTGAACCAGCCTTGCATTTCTTGGATAAATTCTACTTGGTCATGGTATATAATCCTTTTTATGTATTGCTAGATTCAATTTGCTAGTATTGTGTTGAGGATTTTTGTGTATATATTCATAATAAGTATTGGCCTATAATTTTATTTTTTTGAGATGTTTTTGTGTGGTTTTGGTATTATGATCATATAGATTGAATAGGGAAGTGTTTCTTTCATTTCTGTTTTTGGAAGATCTTATAGAATTCACGAATGCAGTTATTTGGGTTTAGGCTTTTCTTTGTGGAAATTTTTTTGATTACTAGTTTAATCTCTGTAGATGTTCTGTAGGTATCTATTGGGTTTTGTTAGTTTGTGGTATTGTTCACATCTTCTATTTCCTTGCTGACCTTTTTTCTAGTTCTGTCCATTAATGAGGAAGTATTAAAGTCTCCAACTGTAGTTTATCTTGTAGGGAAGGTCTGATAGCAACACATTCTCTCAGTTTTTGTTTATATGATGATGTTTTAATTTCTCTTTAATTTTGAAGACTAATTTTGCTGGATATAGAATTCTTGGTTTACAATCTTCCCTTTAACATTTTGACCCCCATGCTTTCTTATGAAAAATCAGCATGTCTTCTCATGAGTCATATTTTTCTTGCATTGTTCAGGATTCTCACTTTTTCTTTAGCTTTTGATAGTTTATGATGTGTTTCTCTTAATATATTTTGGAGTTTGTTGAGCTAATGACTAAACAATTTTTTTTTAAATGTTTTGAACCTGTAAGTATCCCAGCCTTTGCCAAGGGGCTCTATATGTGTATGTGTTTAGGGATACTTTGAACAACCTGGTATTGTAGCTCTGCCTTAGCCTTCGTTTCCTCCTTGCTCAGAGACTCAGGGTCAGTCAAATGTGAGAGGTGAAGGTCTTTCCATGTATTTCCTTGGCATGCATAGCCCTACATAGGTGTATGGCCTTCTCTATGTCCACGAATATGTTGGGGCATTTCAAAGCCTCCTGTAGGCATCTCCTTCCTCAGGTTTTTCTTTAAGTTTTTTGATCACCATCTCTGGCAGCTTGAAATTTTAAACAATTGCACTGATTTTTTCCAACAAATGTGCTAGAGATAAGGCTGTTCCCA